AGCTTCCTAAGTTTTATAACACACTGATTATAGCGAAATAATAATAGATGCTCTCTCTGGCGCGGGCCATTGGTTATATTTATAGCCATGGGAAGGTTTTCTAGAAAATTCAAATTATGTAGCGATAGAATTTAAGTGTTTACGTACACACATATATTGTTGACTCTTACTCTCGAGAATCTGCTACAACTTTAGAGAATAGGCGGGAGTTTTGCAATAAATATTTAACAGTATAAGCTATGTATGTTTCTAAATATAAATTTAATCTAAACAAATGTTGATATTAAAATAAATATATAATAACAAATTCGTTACAATTCAAAAATCAGAACAGAATTCATATTTGGTATATTCCATAAGTGAAACTGTTGTAAACAGTTGTATGATTAGGTACCCTATGCATACTTTAGAAATCAATGAACTTATGATTGGAAAAGTTACTTTAGCCTCTAATATTTTTTATGTGAACACTTGGAGTGCCCAGAAGCGAAACATATTAAATGTTGTCCTTTTATACAATCGAAACATTTTACACACATTTAACTGAGTGTTACTGTGGCAAACACACACACACACACACACACACAAAGGAATATTAAGTGATCAATTAAATTACAGTCAAAATCTAACAACATTAGTGGGAGACAGTGTTAGACCATAACGGTCACTCATAAGCATCAGAAAATGTCTTATTTACAGCTGTAAGTGGAAGCTTAATATAACACAAAGTTTAGCACTTGGTAGCGTTAGTTCACCTCACTTCAAGGTCTCTCTTTTCTCATCCAGAGTATATCCCCAAAGAATTTTATGTAGATCACGTGCAGAATGAAATTAAATGGATGATATAGCGTGAAACATGATAACGTATAGTGAATCAATGCTCCTAGGAACACTCACTCACCAGATATGAGGTGCGTAATCTTAGTAAGTGATATATTTTCAATACATGGATATTTGTAATTTTTAGTAGACTTGAGTGTAAAAAGAAGGAAATCTATATGCAAATGTTTAATTACGACTTTACATTTCAAACAATACACACGTAACTAATAGAAACCTCATCTCAGTCATCTCGTTTTTTGAATTAGCAAATCAGTATGTTACGAGACAACTACAGTCGATATCAAGTAACTGTGGAGTGGCATGCTTTTGAAAGTGCTACATTTTGCCATTGTTTGTTGTTTCACAAGTAGTGTAATGCTAATGAAAATTGATAGCTTTTGGAAGTTTTGTGTAACATTCCTTTCTAAAACAAAATATTCGTAAACTCAGATCATAAAAATGTGTTCAAATGGAGATTTAAAATTTCCAAGAGAGTAATATCCCTTGACTTAACAGCATTGGAAAACAATGGAATATGGATCAACTTTGGGACAAAGACACCATCCAGAACGGGCCTGCAACAAGTCGTACCCAGCCGTAATAAGCGAAGTATGCCATCTTGTAATAGATCCATGAACACAAAAGTCAGTGAGACCAACCGTCCATATATTCTAGGCAACATTACGCAACAGAATAAAAAGAACCCCTGTTTCGAAAAGCGACACAAGTCACGTGTACACAAGTTACTTCCACAATTAGTAAATTCTATGAATTGTACCTAGCAGAGGATAAATAGCAGTAAGCTGACAATCAAAGAAGCGTACATGTAGCTTGATAACTGTAATAAGTCTCGTGCCAATGGGTGAAAAAGTTTCCAAACATGTGGTACACGGTACGTTACCGTAACTTTTTCAAAGGGAATCATGATAATAGCTGTCTACCGCGCAAGTGGCAAGTTAAGGGTCAGTAGAGTGGATACAAAGGTCAAGGTGAACTCTATTTACTATCAAACCAATGTTCTGAACCATTTGTACCTTACAGAAATACTGGTTTTGTACGGAAATGAGGCCAACAGGGTATGGTTATATACCTTATAGCATACCTTAAGGATATGGAGAATGAAACGAGCATTCATGCTATTCCATATGAAGACATAACTCCTGTGCAATAAGACTGTTGAAATGGGCGTCATCTTCGTCAACTAGCTAGATTATGGACACGAAAACTTACGACTGAGTTTTTTTCAATGGAAACTACGCTATGGAGCTATTGTCAAGATGCACGTTTATGTTAAAATATTTTATATATTCACTATAGTTTTGAACAATATTCAGTAATAATGTATTTTGACTGATTTTTTTTTTTAAACTGAAAGCATACATTCTGGATATTAACGTAAAAATATCAACCTGGCACCTACGAACTTGCTATAGCACAAAGAACCTTCAGCTGGAAGTGCATTTAGTGTTCTATCTGGCCTTAGGTTGAATTAACAATGAGAATCGACTTCCACTATTTTTGTGCGTTGTAGATAAATAAGTAGGTGTTATGCTTAAAGATGTGAACGCATTATTTAAATAGACTACAGAGGCTTCCTTGCTTGCCTTCTTTCCGAGGAACAGTAATTAATCACGTAGGCGAACACGGATGGTGCACAATGCGTCTTGTTCTTTTGACCTTCTTTTCTCGACTGCTGTATGGTGTTAGAAGTCAGTGTAAGTAATGACACGGTGAAGCCATATTTCTCAATCTTGGAAAAGAAACACGTTTTCTTTATTTTGTTGAATCGATAAAGCAAAACAACATGTATGAAACCTTGGCAAAAACATAAAAACTGTATATACAGCGGCGAGTATACAGAATAAAAGTACTTTGTTACGACCTGAACAGTATTACTATTGTCTAAGAGTTGTTTGACTTTTATAACGAGTAAGTATTATCTTACGGCTTGAAATATTACTACCATGCCCAACGTGAGATACGTTGCATTTCGAAATAATATAGTTTTACCACTGCTATTCTGACCATCTATGTATATTTATTCTATCAATTTAATCATGTTTTGCATTAATACTGAGTGAGGAGCCTACTGAATTGAATAACTAATCCAAAAATACAGCAATATTTACATTAGGCAACTTCTGATTTTAATTATTACAACGTTTCGACCCACAGTATCGGGTCATCATGTCCCTAATATTGAACTACTGACCAGAAGAAGGAAGACCAGTCAGAAGCCTCCTACCACTCGCAATCCACCATATGGTATTGACTGTAACTCTTATAACACACCCACAGTTTAAGTGTGGTGAATATTTTGTGGTATTGCACAGTTTCGATCTTGACTCATCAGCTTCGAAATTCAGGGTTCTACCACAGAGCTAACCCGCGCTCGTATATTATACAGAAAGATAAGTTCCATATAAAGATCTGAGACAGTAATGCAAAACAAAGAAAAGCATAACAGATATTGTTTTTAGAAAATTAAAACTTATATCTGTGGCAAATATGCAAAAGGTTATTCATCTTCTGCAAAAAACTGAGATATATCTATCGTGTAGCTTGGAGCAAAAACAAACTAACTCCAATTCTGTATAAAGAAGTGAGATGTGTTTGTGAAAAGGGGAACACCTTCCTTAGTGAAGTTAATTCATGGAAAATACACATAAGTATCCATTCCCTAAAAAAAATCACTAGAAAAATCAAGAGCTATTGTTTTTAAAACATGCCTGTAAAGAAAAAGAGATAAATAAATCTCCTAGAAAGACCTAGAGATAGAGCTGTGATAATGTTACTCAACTGTTACATTTCTATAAAAACCAGGGAATAATATAGTGAAGGTTAGTATGGATGCTAACCACCTTACAATAAAAAATAAATCTAAAGTGACGACATTTCTGAAGTTTTTTAGGTCAAAATAAGAATTTATTTTACTTGGTTAATAAGTTTTTGATGAAATTGTTGATGTAGGGTGTGATTGTTTGGTGATACTGAAACTTCATTGGTTGATTAAGAGATTGTGGTTTTGGTTTAAGTCATAGCTGTGTGTGTGTGTATCCTTGCATGGTAGTTCGTGATAGCCATATAATGCTAATCTTCAACCTGTATCTCATTTTAATAAAAATTTCCTTAATTATTTCGGTTTTCTGAAACTTGTCAGTCTCTATGAGCTTGTAATTTTCTTATATGTCCTTATACAAAAGCGTATTCTGCGATGACGGAGTTT